GTCACACAGTGGTGACGGACGGCCGTACTTAAAGTCTTTTGTCTACTAAGTTTAGACACTTTGAGGGGGCCCCTCCTTTCGGTTTCAAGCACTAATGAACTCATTAGCCCGCGGGAGAGAAAAACACGGCGGCCTCATGGAGACGCTCGGGAGGGTTTGAAACAACGCCAGGACCCTTTACATCACGCGGGACGTTACTTGTGATTAACACCCTGGACAGTTCCAGAACATCTGTGGGAGGCGATTCACGGTCGAGTGAAACATAAACAGTATCGTACAGCGAGAAGGAGCTGGACTGGAGTCCTCCGATATGCATCCTCATTATCTCACTTACGGGGCCGTCATAATGATTATTTGTATCCTTTTAAGTTGGGAAATGATGTCGCTTAACATCTGGCATCTATGGACAGCAAATTGACATCCGTGTAAATGGGGCGATTAAATTTATTTCAGGAACATATTAAGTAGTGAGATTGAATCTAACTGGATTTATTTAGTTTGGAGTGGCCTGTTTCCAACAATTATTGAGGGATACGCCAATGGCTCTGCATACGTTTTTGATGAACACCAGTTACAGTGAATTATATTGATTGGAAAAAAATGTCTCTCTCTCTCTCTACATATATTTATTTATATTTGTAATTTTTTTCTTCTTTTTTTTTCTATTTGGATCAATTGGCTGAACATGTAAATGTATCATTAATGTAAATTGTAGCATCTGCTGTCAAAGCAGTTTGTCACGAAAATAGAAAACCACACATTTTGGTAAATAATATGTCTATCTAGTATATCTTCAGTGCTTCATACGTTATACTTTGCTGAATTGAAAAATAGAAAACTATTAAAACTCTGAAATTGGGTTTTTCTACTGGAGGAAACGTGAAAAGTTCCACCACAGAGAAGAAAACTTGCAACCGGCTCCAAATCCTCAAAGGTCAAATGTTCAATACATTCACACCCTTAGATCTGCATTGAATTCTTCTATTGATCTGTAGCACTTTGTTTTGTTACAAACCCAAAAGAAACAACATGTATCCAAAGATTTTTGGCTCAAATCAGTTCTTCTAATTCTTCTGACATCCACAGGTCACACGTTGGACGCATACTGTATATCACCCTTCCAATACGGCTATTAAAGAGCCACACTTCATCGTGCATATTTGTGTGATGGTTATGAGGGATTGCACCGAAAAATAGACCAGACGCTGGCGTGTGATTTCCTTCGAGGCGCTCCATCATAAACACGCAAGGCCGCACATCACATTTAATTTGACAAAATCAAACATCGGACAGAACTGATGCCACTGTTTTACCAAGCCATTATTGGCGCGTGCATTGTTTCACATCGGCGGGGTTTTAGTCGCACCACAGGGGGGGTTAACCATAGAGTTATGAGTTTTCTTTTCATGATGGATGGAGTACACGTTAACTGACGATTAGCTCAGCATTCATCGATCCCGAAGTACTGAAAGATCTCGTTTTCGCTCCAATTATTAAACCTCTAAATCCGCCGTGGTGACGGAGAAGTATTCACAGCGTTGCATAGTCGTCTGACCACGTAAGGAGAATATCCGTTGACAGTCGACCCTCACGAACCGAGGCTTTGGACTCTGCACGTTGTTTTACACAGGACGGGTGGCAAAAAGTCAAATACCCGACTTCGCTACTCAGGAAAACAGGATAACATGGCAACGTTTTTGAACCTCAAGCCTGAAAGCTCCTAAATCCAGTTGTCTTAAGTTGAAGAGTTTGAGGTCTGTACCCCACATCTGGACTGTTCGAAACATCTGTTGCGGTCAAGCTCCTCGCCTTGAACACTCGCAGGCCTCTTTCACTCCCTCGCGCGATGATGTTATGTCTCAAATCTTCATGTCATGAGACTCTTTCACCTGGTCTGAGCTCACGTTGGCTGATGCCCATGAACTTAAACTTACCTTTATCGTAACGTGTATCACACAAACCCCGATCGGATATCGGATGAGTACCTAGAATACGTACATTTAATTTATTTACTTTGGGACTTTTCGCTCAGTTAAAACGTCTGTGCACCTGGTTCGGATTGTCTGAGAATAACACAAATGTTTTTGTGTCATCTGAGAAGACGTCCAGAGGGGGAATGTAAATATGGACTTTTCTTAAATAATGGGCTGCTACTTCTTATTTTTTGCTGAATAAAATAGATTTATTGCATTTTTCATGCCGACGCCTCGTCTGGTCTGTGAAAAATATGCCGTGAATGTGAGAGAAATTCTTATTGAAAAATAGCAGCCTATGAATTTTGACATTTCTAAATCGAGGTAATTGCACGGATGGAATTCGATACATTTAGTTTAGTTTTGTGGTATTTTGTTGAACTTTGTGTGACGAGAATAAAGGAGTTCATTTTTGAAGGAGGGATTGGCACTCCACATACTTTCATACTGATATTCCGATATCTGAGCACCAATATGGCAAACACATGTTGGCAGCGGCCAACTTTCTGGGCATGTTTCTTCTAATATCATCAATCTTTATTTTCAAAGAAAAAAGCTTCCCGCAACATTTGAGCAACACACACATCTTTTTTTTTTTTTACTTGAAAAACAAGCCACCCAGGCTTATATTTAAGCTTTCCCAATCATGATAGATGTTGAACGCATTGGTGTGATGAATTGCAATGCGGTACGATTACCTTTTTTAAACAAAATCCCAGGTTTTTCAAAGCTTCATATATTTTGGACTTGGCCAGCGATCAGGTTGAAGAAACGGTACATCAACATATTTTTTCCCAAAACAAATGCGGTCGTAATTTCTAGCCAATCACGATTAAACAACATTTTCGACCTCACACCGGCACTACTTTATAACCACTCGCACCAATTATGACATGTCAGAGCGGCTAGCGAGGTTTCTCACTCCGTCTTTCCTCTCCTTCATTTACAAAGCTGACATATTTACCCCCATCTGCCATGATATTGGTTCAAAACCAGCTTTCGGACTGGCGGCATAGAGGTGGAGTCTCAGCTACAACCCCCCCGGGACGGCATCTCAGGTGGCCCATCGGGCCGCAGACCTTAACGAAGACAGCGTGGGCCATGTATAACATTTCTATGGTATGCGTTTGTGCTCTTGACGGGACGGGCGGGGATTTTCTGCCCGTAATTGACTTTGGAGCGACCCTGTGCTGTGGTTTTGTCTGGCTTTGAGAAGGAACTCAATCTGTTACATGAGAGGTATGTGGCATGTTATTGCCCGGTATGGCACACACAGAAAATATGCGAGACCCTGTTGCACTCCAACCCGTTGTGTTTAACACATCACGCAAGACTGGCCAAGTCTGGAATGATTTTTACGTGGTATGTGTTGGAAGAAATGAATGCCTTGAGAACAAAGCCGTCTTACCACAACATGCACAATGAAAAGCTGCTCTCCTTGTTGTTGACCGACGGTTTGGTTGGACTTTTTGGCCACGATCATGATGTTTCTTAACATTTTCCCTGCACTTAGCCAACAGCAGCATGACAGGGTTAATTATCAATTATACCCACAACTAATGTTTTGACATGAAGCATGCCTCTTAAAGGAACAGCACAAACGGAGCCAAAAAGGCCTGATTAGACTGATGTAATCAAAAATCATCATTATTTCAGAAGTAAATCAGTAGGTCTTGCTTTGTTTCTTCCTCTTCTTATATCTGAAATGACCTTCACGGATCCCCATGTCTCTCTTAAAGAACCCTGGAGGTATTGCATCTCCCGTGACTAACCTTGGCTTTTGGGTAAGGACATAAATGATGACATTAATGTCTTTGCAATATTTGCATGCATACAACTGATACAAAGAGCCTGTCTGGCTCTGTTTTGGGCTCCGCTGGGCCGCCTGGCAGGCAGTAGAGGCCTTCGCCACTTAAATGTCTTTCTAACTAACTCAAAAGGAGAAGAGGCCCTCGTCATTTTCCACTGGGAGTCGCCGCGTTCGGCAAATAAAAAACACGTACAACGTGAGCCACGCTCGAAACAGTCAATCGACATTTAAAGTAAATTATCATCTCCGTTCTGCCGCGTTGGCAGAAGACATCCAACTGCATCCCGAGCTTTTGTAAAAAATAAAGTGGCAATGTGTTATTTTCAAGGCTCTGGCTCTGTTTATTTCTTGGCCACTGTGCAACAAAAAACAACAACCCAGCAGCCTGCACGGTGACTTAATTCTCAGGATAAACGCTTAGGCAGGATAAGTGTAAGTGAATGCGCCTGGTGTTTATCCAGTAGTCCTTCTCACCGTTCGGCCCGGGACATTTATCAACAAAGAATGCAGGTCTCCAAGAAGTGTTGTTTATGGCCCCCTGTTGGATAGTAAGGAAATGAAAAAATCCATGCTATTTGCAAATATACAATGGATACACGCTGACATTATTAACAGTTCTAAAAAGATTGGGATATTTCATCTTTTTGATTCTGATTGCATTTTTTAATTGTTATTAGAGGAACAGCGGATTAAATGAGCAATCTCATCATAATGATCTTAATTGCATGAATCTTGGTTGGATTGAAACCTGCAGTGATGTGACACAACATCGAATACTACGTACATAAAGTAACTGTATGTTTTAAAACCTTGTGGGGATTTGAAAATATGTAATAACCTGATTACAATGTGTGTGGGAAGAACTGTCTCCTTCCCCATTGCATCGTATACGTCGTCATAGATTGCGCTTGAGAAGGTTGTTCGAGTGAAAGAAAAAGGTGTTTTTCTTTATTGTCAGAGGTCATAGGGGTCATGAAACTGGGATGAGAGTCATATAAAAATCCTTCTCAGGTGCTGGAGGTCATTTAGAGGCGTACCTGTGTTTGTTTTATATCCGGATTGAAGGCCCAGAGGAAGGTAAAAAAAAAAAAAAAAAAACATCTTTAAAAATCAACGGAATGCACGTGAATTGCAATAGAATAATAGCGGTTGAAGCAACACTTGCACGAGTCCACCACAAGCGCTTCACCTCTGAGTGAGAGCGGGGGGGCGGGGCTTAGGCGGCCCGCTGGCAGGCTGCAGCCGGGATGCAAATATCACTTCTCTGCAACTGTTTCTGCCACTTCGGATGCGGCAGGACGCCGCTACGTGGACTTTAAGCTGCGCAATTCGCAGGGGAATCTTTAGTGCAAACAGCCCGACTGAGAACGTGCGTGACTCAAGTTCATCGGAGTAAGATGCGCGTTTTTTTAATGCGCATAATCGTTTACTGGCGGACTTTTAATCCGTTGCGCATTTTCTTTCTTTCTGCGCATCTACTTGAGACGCTGCCAGGGAGTCGCCTCGAAATTGAGACAGATGCGAGAGAAATGAAAGCATGTGTCTTTTTAAATGGTGACAGGGAAAAGTTGCATGGGGGCATCGCGGAGGAGGAGTTCTTTGCGACCAAACGAGTAACGGATTTTCTCTTATAAATAAGGAAATTGAGTCCCGACCGCTCAATGAACAGCAGTAATCCTCGTTGTGCAGGTGGGTCAATTCACATTTTACAATTCTATTAACCGAGTTAAAGCTTTGGTTCGCAATTTCTTATGAATAAATGAATATCCTAACTCGAGGGTATTTCTGGAAAGATCTTGAAATGTGTTTGTGTTACTTCATTGTACCCGAAACATTTTGACGTGATGATCAAGAATTATTATTATTATGACGATTGTAATTATTGAGTATATTCCGTTTAAAAACCTGATTTATTTAATGTTGCCCGGTACATCATTTAAATGTGAGATTACGTTCCTCATGTGTGGCTGACCTTTCCCTAAAATATATTTATTACCCCAAATTCTGCCCAAAAATGCGTATTTATACCGATTGAGATTTCCTTCCCCTGACTAATCTGAATTTAAGAGTGGGACATATTCAGTCTTCTTTTCTTTAGGAAAACATTCGACACACCACACTTTATCTCCTAGTCATCCTCTTGCGATTCGTGCTGGCCTCCCCAGCTCCTAAGTGAGACGGGCAGGACAGTGAGGCGGAGACGTTGGACGGGGGGGGGGGGGGAGAGGATCTGCGCAGGATTCCTCCTTCTTCCAGAGGAGCAGTGCGATGCAAACATCTGTAATCCAGCATGGAGCCTCAGAGGCAAAGCCAGGCTCAACTGAGCTGTACAGGATCAACCCCCCCGGAGCTGAGTGGGCTCAAGCCTCACATGGAAACCCAAAGAGAGAGGGAAGGAGGGAGGGAGGGAGAGAGAGAGAGAGGGAGGGAGCCTGTTGGTAGTTTGATTGGAGGCGAAGAGCACGATGGTGATGTTCTTCTCTGCGTGAGAGCGCTGAGTGTTTTCTCAAGCGCTGCACGTTTGACCCCTCGCTGCCCGAAAACCCTCCGAGCCGCCGAGCCGAGGAACTGGAAGCGATTACCAAAATGGCCGAGGCTTCTGTTCTGGTGCCAGTGGCGCAGCCAGGTGTTTCTCAACAGACAGCCGAGGCAGGCGGGCCTTTAAGATTTACATTGAAACGTGTCGAGAGCAGACTCCTTCGTTTCACTCAAAGGCCTAGTGGCCTTTTCTGTTCCGCGTCGTTTCTTTCGTCTCGTTTTTCTCTTTCTCAGCGGGAGAGTTTTGGGACTTGAACATGAAAATCATGGATTATGTCAACGTGGGTGAAATCACCCTTGAATTCCCACAGCCGAGTCTGGGTCCCACGTGATGGGATACAAAAAATCAGCTGTTTTAAAAGCCAGAAATTACAGCTGTCTTTACTCGATTGTAACTCTAAAGAAAGAAAAAACTATTTGAAAGCAGCATTGATAATTCTAAATGAAATCCTTTCCCCGTCCTTGTTGCGTTTTGCTCAAGCAGGTGGGACTGTCCTTCCTGTCTGCGTGGGATTAAGATTAAGGGGTCGCACCACAGGTTTCACGTGTTGGTGATCTTTGCACAGTTTCACAAATGTGTGCGTCGAAAGGGAAACCGGTTCAGTTAAAAGTCACAACGTTTGTTGTCTTCTCCAGTTCGATAACTACCCAGTGGGAGTGGGAGCTCCCTTTCACTGCCTGAATAATTGATAGATCAAACTTAGGTCTTACGAAGGAGGCAATTTAATCTCCTGACTACTTGATGAGCGGGGGGCCTCAGCTTCACCGGGCTCAGCTGGACAGGCAGTTTGGCGGCAGTGGGCCCGGAGACGGATGGGCACAGGGGGCACCCCGACCATCAGCCCCCTAAGCCACCTCTCGGTCGGACCCCCGACATCTTCACTGGGAGCAGATCTGGACGCGCTGATGTGGGGCTTCTGGCGGCTCGCGCGGCGCCGTGGGAGCGTTGGCTTGCGAAAAAGAGCCTCTGGCACACGTGGCGAGTTACTCAGCGCCGGCCTCGGAGCGATCCGGGGGCGTCAGCGCGTCCCCTTCTCCAAGAATCCCTCTCTGGGGGAGCAGGCCGCTCGCTCTGGGCCGCGCCTGTAAATAGGACTCGAGCCGAGAGGCGTCAATGACATCGAGAGTCGTTAGGCGCCGAGAAGCGAGTCGACCCCGCCGGCGGGGAACAGAGTCCGCAGTGTTTCCCAGTTAGGAGAGGATGCACGTGCCTCTGTCGTCTGCTTTTGTTTAAGTTGAATCCATGGAAATTGTTATGATTGCAAAGGGAACTCCCTTTCTTTAGGATTGAGAAATTTCTGCATTCTTTGACTCATTTGGCCTTTTTCAAGCGGCTTTATAAACTCTATTCGGTTCGAACAGGAGGAAATGTCACATTGATGTTTAACACATTGTACTCGAGGGCATCTTTTCACTATCATTATTGAATTGACTGTAAATCAGTCTGGACCTTACTGTATCTGCGAAATAAAATGCATTCATGTTTTTTCTTTGTATTGTATAAATAATCAATTTTTTTTTTTTTAGTTATATGATATGTCGAACATTAGTGAAATTGTTGGATCAGTCGAGTTTAAATGGAAACGGTGAAATATGAAATCATTTTTTTCCCTTTTTCATAATGTAATGTGGCCTGCTGGAGTGTTCAGACGCACCAAATGGCTTCGTCCTCAGTGTGATTCAGAGCCATAATCAAATCAACAGCCAAATATGGTTCTATTTTCCTTTATAGAGCTGCGAGGGAGGACCTCCCATTGCTCGGATCCTAACATGTTCCGTGTGTCCTCTTCACACGAGAGCTGTAAATACAGGCAGCGAACGACGCTGTCTAAAAACCATCTCAGCACGACGAAGCCTTTCGGGCCGAGTGTGTGTTGCGTTTCCCGGTCAACTGCATTTTCAAAGGAGAAACACGCTAATTCATCATGCAAAGTCCAAATACAACCTGAAATGCTCCGACCGTGAAGGTTATTGGGGGGGGGGTTTGAGTCATGAGTTTATTCCAAACAATACGTCCGTGTTGCTACCGTTGGGAAACATGCTTATTGTTCTTGCTGAGAGTTAGATGAGAAGTTTGATACCTGAAGCTCATAGTTGTGCAATAGACATGACACACCAACAGACGGTTAGCTTAGCTTAGCGCAAAGACTATTTCCTTTGGTAATGGAATTTCAAAGGCAGGTTTTTGAACGAATTAAGGTTAAAAAATGTTTCCTTCTGTTGTAAATGTTGTATTTTTAGTCTGCGTAGCTCCTGGCGTTTCAGCTTCTGCTGTCTTTCCTTTGGCCATCGCCTCTCTGTTGCTTTCACTTCTTCGGCGATTTACGGCAGATTTTCAGATTTAAGTCAGCGTGTCTGGTGCAGTTTTTCATTTTACAAGGTATAATGTTGTATTCTTTCAGCTTTAGAAGTCGGTCGGTTTAGTCACGCTATCCGTTTTCCCGTTTCCCGCTTTTGTGCTAAGCTAAGCTAAGTTTTTTTTTTGCTTTTTTTAACTTTATATCCATCATACCGGCAGAGCATCGTGCATCTCGTCAAACTCTCTGCAGGAGAGCAAGCAGGCTTCCTCCAGAATTCCCTCCCTGTCATCTACCTGTAACAACCTTTCTCCCAAACCTCTTGTCTACTCAGCAGGTTCCAAGCACATGTGATCACCCACAGTCAAGAACCTGCAACCATCCGTCCCATTCCGACCTGCAGGCCCGAAGCCCTCCCCAGAGCAGGAAGCCCCCCCCCGCTGAGAGGAAAGCGTCTCCCGACCTTCATGGCTTGAACCCGCGAGAAGTCCACCCGTCTCCTCCGCGGCCTTTTTCCTCCTCTCCTTCCTCCGTGCGACCCAGCTACCCCCCCCCTCCCCCTGCCCCTCCTCCGTCTACTCCCTTTGCCAGTATCACACCCCCCCCCCCCCACCAGCGCGATGGCTCGTTGCGCCACAGGCTCGTTCGGACTCGCAGCATCCCCCTCCAGTGCAGAGACTCGCCCCCGCGGCGGCCGCTAGGGCGACCCACCCACCCACCCGCACCGATTGGGGAGGGAAGGGAGAGACGAGCAGGCGCCGCAGGACAGAGCGGGGGGATCGTCTGGTCCCGGCAGCGGAGGGAATCCACCTGTCCCACGGAGGAGGGACCCCCCCACCCCCCCCGCCCCGTCTGATCCATCTGGTCGCAGAGAGAGGACCCTGCGTGGCCAGGAGGGGACTATGCAGCTGGGACTGGTGGCGCTGGCAATGGTCTTCGTCAGCTCCGTGGGTCACGGCGATGCGCTGCGGCCCTCCAGGGGGAGGAGGCAGAGGCGCGGTGAGTTCTCCGCTCCACCTCGGTTTCTTCCTGCGGTCACAAAGGCACATGTCTCGTAAACGCTTAACAGGCAGAGAAAAGGTAACGTTTTGTTTATTTTCCCGTCTTTCCTGTTTTTGTTTTTTTTTCCCTACAAGGGTTACGCTGGGTTCAGTGGCTCGTCTTTCTTCTTCCTTCTCAGATTATGCCTCTCAGTTTGTGTAAAGCTTTTACGTGTGCTAGGACTGTTTATAGAGGGTTTTTTGATAGATTCGCCCTCAAAGCCATCACTTTGCTGAGTATCGGACAGTTCTCAGCTCTGAACTGGGCCGTGCTGCCCGTGTTGTTGACAGCTTTTTTCATGCAACCGCAGAGACGGCGCTCAGCCGGACTCGCCGCGTATCTCTCTGGCCTCAGAGCCTCGGTGCCGGTGTTGCCGTCAGCTTCGAAACAATTCTCCCTTTACACACGAGGAGCTCTCGGCCAATGCCAAAGCTCAGCCCAAACTCTCGTACAACACATTGGCCGGCCAAGGTAACAAATGTGGTTTTGTTCAAATCACACATGCTGGGACGGATGTTTGTGAAGTAGAATCTTCGTCAGGTATTCACACGCACTTGTATCTGTGACGCGTGGAGGCATCGTGTGCCATTGTAAAGGGGACCGGAAGGATTTGGGTCATTCGTCATGTAGAAGCGGCAGCGTTTCTCACTCGCGACATGCCAATGTGGAAGAAAAATATACAAATCTAGTATACGGCTTTTATATCTTGAATGTCACGTAGATGGTTCTCTCTAAAGATGGGCTCTATGGCTACTGGCCGCGGCCTGGGACCATCCAATGACCCATTCTGAGGCAGAACGATACCTGCTGTGAAAACCTGGCAGTGTTTTCTTCTTGTCTGTCATCGTTGTAGTTTTTTTGGTGCTTGGATCACGTCTGACTCGCCCGAGTAGAGGCCTTGCCTGATGTCCGTTGCCTTATTTCGAACGACTCTCTTGCAGATTTTAACTGCCTCTTGCGAGGCTGTCAGCCCCAATTACTCGGGTTTCTCCAAATGAAAATCTGTTAAGGATCTGCGGCTAGCATTTGGAGTAAACAGTGGATAACTGCTCAAACAAAGATGTTTGGCCGGGCCCTCGCCTAGATGAAGCTGCAACTCGAGCCTGTTGGAGCGAAAAAAGCACCGGAAGGTCTACGGCCGGACCCCGAGGAGGTGCCAGCAAAATATCAAAGTCCCGAATGTTGTTCTCATGGGCAGAATGTCGACAAATCCCCCTTGTGTTTTCTTGATGAAATCATATTTGCTCATCGATTAGGCACCCGGTGTCACCTCAAACTCAAATGTAAAATCCCAAAGCAATATGTTATACAAATCACTATTCTGGCAACGAATTATTATTATTATTATTATCACTAACGTGTTCCTTTCTCACTGGCTCTATGTCCATGTTTCCGCAGTCAGCACCGAGGGGCCGCCATCCTGCCCCAAAGGCTGCGACCGGTGCTCCGAGTACAACGGCTGCATTAAATGCAGGCCCAAGCTCTTCATCTTCCTGGAGCGCAACGACATTCGTCAGATAGGCGTGTGCCTCGCCTCCTGTCCCGTGGGATACTTTGGGATGAGGAACCCAGAAGGCAACAACAGATGCACCCGTGAGTTTGCGTAGACTCTTCGTACCACCAAACACAACCGAGCGTGCAGAGGCCCAAACCAGCTGTCTGTCTCGGTCCTTTGCGTTCGATATGGGGGCCGTTCGGAGGAGGGGAGGGACACCTTGCTGGTTTTATTTGTCTTGTTTCAATTCGTCCACTTTTCTGCGCCACTTTGTGCGTCCAGCAAATACCTGAAATATGCACCGGAGCAATAACGATTTACCAATTGCCACGCTCTTTATTCACTGAAGTGATTCCACGTTCTGCGTTCCTCTTAATCACCAATCCCTGCCACCATTTGTCGATGCCTGTGAGCGACCGCTCAAAGGCCGCCAGATGAAATCCTTCTGCTGCTACTAATCCTGGTGCTGAAGGGCACACAGTTATCCACTGAATCGAGCTTCTTCATAATGATTACTGGCACATTTTTGGCTCATTTGGAAGGAGGATCAAACATGACTACCCACAGAGGAATGAGCGTGGTTACAGAGTTGGCTCCGGTGCCACTGGTCCCGTACTTTTAGCCGAGGCTTGCCAGCAAGCCAGTCTGTTTCTTATTGGGCGTGGGGCAGAAAACACGATCGCAAAGCGAATCCCAACAAAAACATCTCAGTTGCGTTGTTTCTGAGAGGCTGTTTGTGTTGTTTTTATTTGACCCTCGTGTGCAAAGTTCATGCTAGATCTCAAACAGTTTGTAATGTTTTTACTTTTAAACATATTTACTTCGGGCGCAGCCTCGCTCGGTAACATAAGCAGTCCTGCGATCTTCTTGGTAACTGCGGAGAGGTTTCTGGGTGCATTCGTCCCGTCAGACTTTCTCTCCGGTTAAACCCAAAGCAAGAGATGCATCTTGAGCCATCGCGTAAAAGTCCAAGTCGAGGCCCCAGTGCTCGGTTCCGTGGTCGTAACGGCGAACGCTCCATCACCTGCTGGGCGCCGTCCGGTCAGCTCAGAACACCGCGTAGATATGTCCAAGGAATTCAAAGCATGTAGGCTGCAGTGTGGTAATCGAGACCACCCCGACAAGACCAGGACTTTAAAGGGTCGATACGGAGATAAGTCCAAGACCAGACAGTGTTCATTCCACTGCAGGACACAGATGTCCAACATTAACTGAAACTGATGTGAAAAAAAATGCGGATTTCTCCACATGCAGAGTCTTTGTGTGCATGAACAGGTTCAAACAAATACAAACAGAAGCTAAAATCACCAGCACACGCAGTTGTTTTAGGTATAATTCATTGTTCGAAAAAGACACAAAATAGACAAAGTGAAAAGCGTTCAAATTTGAACTAGATACGTATCTCACTATTATCAGTCATTCAACATCTTTATTCGTGTTAATGCACCACATATTTTAGACAAATTCGTCCCCGTGCTGGTTTGTTACTGTGAGGTCTTAACTTCCTCAGCAAATTCTTCTTGGTTCATACGTATAATTTTACAATGTCCTTTTCTCAACGTTTGTCTTACGTTACAGAGCTGCAAACATCAGTACTGTCGGATTTGGGGCTTGAATCTAGTAATTGGCAGCAGGAGGAAAGAACCCAGTGAGGATTCAGCGTTACGTCATTTGTGACCTACGCAGTGTCCCGGCTGCTGAGCTAAACTTTATTAAACAAGAATAAAGAAAGTCGAGATCCGAATACATTTCCATAAAAAGAAATATTAGAAGGACCATGCAGATTTCCATTTTTCCTCAGCTGTCTTTTCCATGAGAACGAGGACGGTCAAAGCTTTTGGGTTCTCTTTAGACGTCTGCTTTTTATCCTCCTGTGCTTGTAATTATCCGAATTTCCGTCTTTTCTTGATTTAGGAGATTTGAATGAGCCTGCAGCAACTCTTAAGAAAAGCCACTGAAGCATACACTCCTGGCTACACTCGTTCACACCAGCCTGCCAGAACAACAATGCCTGTGGTGCCTGTGTTTTTAAGAGGAGAAGTGTGGTCCTCTCTCTAAATAGAGACTGTGTTGTTTAATCACTAATAAATCTCTCAGAGAAAACACAATCCAAGTTCCTTCTGTTCTCTCTCTGGAGATCCATTTGCTTTTTCAGCCAACAAGGCCATGAATGATCCATTACAAGATATTTGTATGTTTCCATTTGAAGAATAAAAGATGTTGAACACGGACACGATGTGACTAATATGATTTGATCCTTTCATTTGATCCTCTCTTTTTGTCTTTCAGAATGTAAAATAGACAATTGTGAAGCGTGTTTCAATCGCAATTTTTGCACAAAATGTAAGGAGGGCTTGTATTCACACAGTGGGCGATGTTATGTCAGCTGCCCGCCAGGCCAGCGCACCGCCAACGAGTCCATGGAGTGTGTTGGTGAGTGACCTTTGACCGTTCGCTCATTTTGAAGCCCGAGAATACGCGAGAGGCCGCGAGGCTAAAAAAAAAAAGTGCGACGCCGGAGCGCGGCGGACCATTCGCTCACCGCCGCAGGCCCCTCTTCTTTTTTCATCCCGCCCAGGTCAACGTGCTGACGAGTGCATTCTGGGCGAGTGGAGCCAATGGGGTTCCTGCATGAAGAAGAACAAAACATGTGGCTTTAAGAAAGGCTCGCAGTCTCGAGAACGCGTGCCCTCTCAGGTCCACAGCCCAGACGCCTCCCCGGCCCCCGAGCCCTCGCAGACCTGCGCCCCACAGGTCGAGAGGAGGAAGTGCAGCGTGACCAAGACGCCGTGCGCGCGAGGTAAACGCAAAATACACACTCTCCGGGAAACCGGTAGTTTTTGGTGGAGACGATGACTTAAAATTAAAGGCAAGATCAAGCGCCGGTTCACACGTCCGACCGGCGGAACCGAGACCCGACACCCGGAGGGCCTCCCCCCCCCCCCTCCCGCCTTCCCGCTAGCGTGTCTGCCGAGCTGCCTCGTGTTGGTTTGGGGTTCGGTTTGGCCCGAGCTCGCAGGGGGATACAGAGTAAACAATAAACACAATCTACGAGCGGGCCAGATGAAGGGGGCGGGTATTACGCACGGCAAGGCTGGACCCGGATCAGAGCTAGAAACGGGCTGTTTGTTCTGAAGGCCGGTGAAGCGTGAGGTTTACACTCCCGTGACATGTTTGCTTGGGCTCCTGTCATCCACACAGCAGCTTGCTCTGCGGCAGGTTGACAGTCGACGGCCGCCGTCAACTTCCACGTCGAGGTCATTAGTCACGCTCGCCCTCCAGAACGCAGCTGGCGAGCTGCAGATGTGGAGTTTATTGGATGGAGAGGAGCAACTAAAAACAACAACGGTTATTTGCTTTTAAACATTTTGTCCTTAACGGTAGGAAACGATTTGCAGGCCGATATGTTGGGACGTTAAAGGACTGAGAGAATTGCTAACAAGCTCTACTCAAAGCTTTTACTGGATAGCAGCACGCTTTGAGGATCTCGGGCACATTGCGCAAACATTTACACAATGTTCACAACTCTAAAGAGGTCGCGCTGTGCGACAGGCGCCTGAATTGCCTCCATGCTTGTGAGTAAATATCCTGTGAGTGGAAGGAACAGGTCCCGTAGAGATGTTTGGTGTAGAGGGACGGAGGCTCACGTGAGGACCGCGATCTTCAGCGGACGGGCCACAGCACAATAAAAAACGTGAACAAAAAGTGTACAATGTCTGAAAAACGTTTTTCCATGGCTTCAGAGGAATAACGATCTGTGAAATATCACGAACTGCCGTACGAAAAGGGCTACGCACGGATTATTATGTGAGGTGTCGACTGACGAGTGATGAGTCATGGAAGCGTTTTGTCGACTGCCCATGAATCAGTTTTTTCCTCTCATTATGTCGCCAAACACTTTTGGAAATAAGGCGTATGTTACTTCAAAAATGCACAGAGGAACGAATGTTCCTCTGTGAGGTCGATCGTGGGTGATGGTACCAAGACTCCGGCACACCGTTTCATATCGGTAAACTCTCTGTCACCAATTTTTTTTTAAAAAGGGAGGCCAGCTGTGGATTCATCCGTGGGAGCTGGCTGGCAGGCTGGCTACATAAAACACAGGGGGCAGATGTTGTATAACATTAGTGATTTAGTGGTCTGCAGAACTCACGCTTTGTGTTGATTTGGCTGCAAACGTTCAAACTTTTTCCCGAAAGCTGCACAAAAAGGGTCTCACGCGAAAAACAGAATTCCCTGGACGTGTTACTGCATTCGTCATGCAAAAGTGTTTAGCTTGGAAGGAGGGGGGGGGGAAGTACAATCAGGGCTGTCATAAACTGATGGAGTCCCCCACTCTTGGCTCCGTTTGTGATTTGTCGGAGGAGTAATTAAGTCTTGACATCAGCTCAGATGTGTGAGCGTGTGGGAGGATTCTTCACTCGGCCTCATTGGTGGACATTCACACCGTTACGGCTCCGTGCTCCTTTAGCGATGTGTTCGATCAATCCAACACGACACGGATAAATATGCTGCACATAATATGCGTGATTTGAGTGCAGCTCACCAGTGGGATTTCTTCACTGATTCACCGATTTAGTCACTAATTGCTCTTTAAAAGGGGGATTTATTTGTGTTTGTGCACTACTGTGTGAGGCTGAGCCTTCACATTCTCAGTTGGAAGTGATGCACCTGTATTTAGTCTGTCCACACTCTTCATCCATCACCGCGTAATGATTTTCACCGGCTATGTTGAAACACAATTTGAGGATGGTTGTGTACTTTTTGTTCTTCTCCCGTGCGCTTAAACCGAAGATCCACAGCTGTTTGTACAACAAGTTTAAAAACCCTGGAAGGGAAATAAACACAGACCTTCAGTTTTCACTACGAAGCCGTACACAAACGCGGTGGCGCCATGGGCCCGGCTCTTGTCATCACGCGTGGTGAACGCTGTCCAGCCATTGGCCTGTGTTCACTCAGTTAACGAGATGCGCGGAGACTCTCGACGCGCAAGCTCATAACAAACATCCTCCAGCGTAACTGCACACCCTCACGTACACAAATACGTTTGAGTGCAGCCTAAACAACGGGGCGTCTGACACTCGACGTCCGTCGCCCCGCTGAGCGGCTGCTCAACCACGTCCTTGTGGGCTCGCGTTGGGCCCTCGACGACCCTCGAGTGCCGCGTTTTGAAATCAGCGGGAACCTCTGAGCTCTTGTGCGTGAAGATGACCACGGCGCGATGGAGGGACATGGGTGGATCCTCATGTACCAGCACAGAGTAGATGGGAGGAGTCCTCTTGGGAAGAAGCTTTTGCCGTGAAGAACATGCGGAGCTCACGGCGGCGCGAGAAGTAAAGTCGTTGGATTCACGAATGCTTCTGCAAAACGTCATGGCAATTGAGCCAAAGGTTTTGAGATACTTCAGTGCGGAGCGTTTAACGACTTTAGATATGTCGTAATGTTTCATTCTGTTCGGGTGGTTTATTGTGTATTGATTGCTTGTGATACGGTGGTTGCAGCCGTACTAGACGTAGCTTCATTAACTAGATGTGCGCGGCTCACAGACGGTTGTTTTGCCCCCATTAGAAACCACATAATCACAACCACCAGCGCTGATCCAACACACATCGCTTATTATCCAGACTTCCGCTCTCATCCCTCAGGAATCCATGTTTTTCGTTTTGTTTAGCCAAGCGGAGGGGCTACGTGCAACATCTGGTGATGACAGACATCCTACGGAAATCTATTTGAGAAATGCTGCAAAATGTAAATAATATCTCCCATGCATTTTCATTTCAGAGAGGAAGAGCAAGGCGGGCCGGCAAGACGATACAAACAGGCGGGAGAAGGAGAACGCACGCGGGCGAGGACGCGAAGGCAAAGATGGCAGTAGAGAAGGCGGGGGCGGAGGAGGCGGAGGTGGTGGCGGAGGAGGAGGGAAGAGGCGAAAGGGGCAGAGCAGGAGCACCACAGCTGCCAGCATCACCACCAGCTCCGTCAGCTAAACTGCACGGGCCTGCTGGATGGGGGCCGAGGGACGAGCAGAGACGATGCCTCAACCGTCGTTGTGGAAGACGCAAAGAGGACTGGAGGACGGCCGCAACACAAAGTGCTTTCGAATAGACGAACGTGTCTGGAAGGTGCCGGCGTCGTGCGGAAAAGACTTGGCGCGTCACTCGCCAGCCCGGAGGGGAACGCTGCTGGACCGCGGTGCCGCGTTGAGGATTTTGCGTTTTTTTGTCGTCGAATCTTCGTCACATCTTGAACTAAGAACAGATCCCTGCGCAGCATCCGGGCTGGAAGTCTGATAAGGAATGAAGGCTCTCTCTCCTCTGGTCTCTGACGTATTATGTTCCGGTCCGAGTTCAATCACAATCTGTTCTTCATTTGTTGTTGTGTTTGCGAGGAGCGGCAGATGGACTTTCTCAACACAAGCTTTACGTGATGTAAAGACAATGAATAGCATTGAGTCGTATGTACCTTATTTCCTGTTGTGAGATGAAACAAAAAAGAAAGGCACTGGAAATCATTTTGCGGTCGTTGAGGACAAACGGTCTTCTGCACAGTGTGTTATTTCAAGGAGGCAATTTGTAACAAAAGAAGCCAAAGGGAAGATTTAAGAGAATTACTGGCTCATTTTCTTCCCCATTGTCTTGACACAAACCTTTGTCATTCGATAGCTCGGTTGTTTGTTTCGGATTTAAATGTTGCCGTTTGTATCAGACAATAACTCTGCACATAAAACAAGCAACAGAAAGTATTTGCATGTGTGCGCCTTTGTGCATGCAAACATGTGTGCGTCTGTGTGTGCGTGTGTTCGTCTCCACCTAAAGTACTTTGCGTGCATCTCTGCACGGAATGAAGGAACTCAGTGGCTTGTCCATGTGCGTTTAGGTGTGCACGTATGTGCTAATATTGGTCCCATAGATTGAAAGAAAAGGTTCTGTGCAGATGCACAGTAATATATATATATATATATGTATAAAATGCAGTAAATACAAGCCACAGATAATCATATAAGAGACAAAATCAGCTGCTCAGTAGTCCGTCTGCAACAGGTACTGAGGATTTTGCACAACCATGTTTCCTACTGCTCAAGCAAAGCATTTTACACCTTTGTACTCCAAAGGCTTCATGACGTTACAGATACAGAGAAAAATGTTTTTATCCTTAAGTCTTTCAAATGGGTCTGTTTGCTATGCACGAGATATTTGTCTCTGGAGAGGTTGCACGCTACATTATTCATTCATACCACGATGGCGAATATTTCAAACTGTGTTTATCATAAAAGCATCATCATGTATAGCGTATTCTGTGAAAGCCTAAATAAAGATCAGATGAAGCTGAACTTCACTCATACACTGATTTTGTTTGATTTCAGTGGCCTATGAAGGTATTCTCAGTCTATGCTATTGCTACATATACACTCCCATGTATTCATATGTGACGCATTTTATCAAGACTGTTCTGTTTTGGATCATTTTGTTTTACAATTTGGGTTACACTTTAATATTTTAATTATTTCCATTGGTTTTCGTAACATTTCACTTTATTAAAAGTCCTATTTTGTGTAAAGTGACATTCCCGGCGTGTTTTATATGTGTATGTGTATATTAAAAGGAACGGCCACTAAAACACAGCATTTCAAAGATTCCACAGGAGTGTATTCAGACGGACACTTTCACTTTGAGAGAAAATTAAAAAAATAAAGAATGTTTGAACTGTGAATAATGAAGACGTTTTTTAGTAGGAATAAAGCGACAGCGTCAGTCCGGCTGATCCAACACAAGGACACAATCATACTGACTTTACTCGTTTGAAAAAGATATCGTACTTCTTCAGGTGTGCTCACCATATAAAATGGGTCAAATAATCAGGATTCACATGCGCAGTCCGACCAGCGCGAGTCTGACCGTTGATGTTGTGGCCCAGTTTGTCGTATTAACATAATCTCAGATATCAGCATTTATCATTAGTAGTATACTTGAAAAAACAATTATATGAAATTGTATTACTTAAAGTGAATGATCCTTTTTGGTGATTCTTTATTATTGATTCAACAATAACAGAAATGTTTCTCCGTTTATGCAGACTAAGCAAATCCCTTCATATCAAGACCATTTAGTGTCTTTTCACTCTGGCCCCGTCGTTACGATCTGACCAGAGGGAAAAGTTTCAACCACTAAGTATCCTTCGCTTCTTCTCTGAACTGAACTCTAAATTCGAAAAACCTCAGAGAGACATACTAGTGTGCTGGAGAGCGATGCTATCTTCCAGCCGAGAGCACTCAGCGCTCGTGGTATGCTCTTCTCCGGGCTGCAGGAGGCCATCCCGGGAAGCCGAGGGGCTTAGATGGTGCGATGGTGCCGATCGCCGGCCCAATGCTGGCGCCTAGGCAGGGGTCGTAAAAGCAGAGACAGAAATAAAAACTAATGGTGTGTCATAGCCAGAAGGGAGGGGGGAGGAGGGGGGGGGGGGGGGGTGGGGGTCCACCGTGCCGTGGGCCCCGACAACAAAACAGCCGTTTCTCATTACCGAAGGGGAGGGCGGGGGGGGGAATGGTAGAGTATGCTCCGTAAATTACACATTCATCGCTCTTCCGGCCCATAAATTCTTGCCCAGGCTCCCATGGAGAGCTCCCCCCTTCCCCGACCCCCCCCCCCCCCCCCTCCCCTCTGTAGTCCACCATTCCCGTGTTTTCCCAGAGAAACGACTGGTACATCTTTGGGCTACATGGGTACCATTGATTTGCCAAGATCCAAAACATCGAATGATTTCATTACTTTAGACCACCACAACTCCAGAGCCCAATATCACCCTCAAAAGGACTCGCAGGTCTGTAGACACCACCACCACTTATTCTTTCCCGTTGAATCCTGTTCAGGCCGTGAAAGCCAAAATAATGTCAATGCTGGTATGCTAGCTTCTCTTCTGAGCTCAGGTTTTATCATGTGACAGAGATGCAGGTGAAAGCTCCAGAAATGGTAAAAAAAAAAAAAAGGTCTGTGAAAGATCTGAGGCCACGAGGATTTATTTCTGGGAAGACTGAAGATATTCTCTTCAGATATTAAGAACCAACTGTCCGATGCAATGAGGACCAAGAAAATATCCCGTCATATTCAATAACAATAAAACTCTATCTATCTATCGTTATCGATAAATAACCCCAGAAGGTTATGTTGGGTTCATTTAACCGTTTCAACTCTGTTTTCTATTCATTGTTTCAGTCAAGTCTTGTTAAATGTATGCAGAAAGCAATATTAGCTGTGGTGGGGGAGGAGGGGGGTAACATAAAGCCTTTGGACCACCATTGACTCCCAGCACGGTGGCATCCACTACGCACGCTTTAAGAGATCGCCCTTTGGAGATGTCCCGTCGGCGAACCCACTGATCCGAGATCATTTACCATCGCTCAAGCTCCACAGCCACCCTCATCGATGGCTCCAGATCTGAGAGCTTGAATCCGAAACATCTACAAAGAGAAAGCCGTTTGTCAACACTGGCAGCCATGTTAATATGCAACAGATATCTATAAAAGTGGGGCTGTTACATCACAATAACACGACTAGTTCAATGTTTTAGGGAAGCCAAGGGAGATAAATCTGCATGGGATGAAAGTTGAAAGACAAAACCGATCCCATATCTTTTTGTTCATTCCGTCCATCCTGATGGAGGGATTCTTCTCTGCCTCTCTACGGTTTCTTCCCCTTTTCTCCTTTTTTCCATCGGGAGGTATCCCTGTGCTGATGTGGGGGTGTAAAGCTCTGAGGCTAATTTGCAATTCGTGATTTTGGGCTATACAAAATAAAACTAATAAAAAAAAAAAAGAAATAGAAATCAAAGGTGATGCATTAGAGTTGTGTGGTGAGCACACATCTGGACAGCTGGGGATAAATGGCAGATGCTCAGCTGTCTCAGAGACATTGACTACATTTCTGGAGTATCATCTGACCCTTGAGTCAGAGGCAAAAAATGAAAGGTGGGATTTCCCAGAAATGATAATCACGTGGAAAACCTGATTCATGCACGAGATTTAGTTTCTATTTACTAAGCTTGATTTAACCCAAATGTGTGCGAGGCTCTGATTCGGGAGCAGAAACGTTTAGAAGACGTTTTTCAGAAGGCTGGACGTGATACTTGAAGTGTGCTGCCGCCTTGTGGAAGCAACCGGTACTACATGAGGATTGAGTTCTGTGCAGAGCGCAGTCATTCTTTTGGCCACAGAGCGAAGGTGGAGACAGTGGAGAGCAGGGCACAGCTGAATGTCATGTCATTCATTTCATTTTCTCAGGCGCGTAAAACGGGACCTCGTGCTGCGAAGTGGCTGCAATGCACGAAAAGGCCACGAGGGGGGGCCAGGAAAACGTCAAAAGAAAAACTCACGTCATCCCACAAATATTTGTGTTTATATCAGACGTTTGCTTCCATCCCTATATTGAAGAAGTAGGCTAACCTGTATTTTGTCCTTGATTCATTCAGAGACATTTGTTTTGCTTTTCCAGAAAATTGCAAACAAAAATGTCCAAAAGAATCTAGATTTATAGATGCGGGAATTTGCTTCTGGGATCCTTGTTTAACTTTTATAGACACAGATGTGATTTTCTTCCCTAAAACTCACTCTACACATATTTTATGTGAGTGTGTTTTATGTTAATTTGAGCTTAAAAAGAAATGTCTGTTTTATGAGGAAAATGAAGAAATGTACAAACTATATTCATGTAGCTACTAATGTCAAAACATTTACACCCATAAACTGTCCTCTTGGCATCTCTCGCCTCATCTCGTTAATCTGTCTTCTTCAAATGACAAACAGACGTTTCTCGCTCTCTCCATCAAAACTCAAGTCGTATACAAGTCAGGAGCCATTTCTCTGCTTCACGCAGGCCTGCAGCGCTTATCTGCTGCTCCTTCAAAGCTCCGTCTCCTCGGCGTTTTGATTTACAAGCGGGGTCGGTCGGCTCCTCGAGCTCTTTGCATTCCAAACATCTCATCTCCAAACAACTGCAGCAGCACGCGGCCGCGGTCCTCACGAGGGGCTTCGCGCCGTGGGATGTTTAAGTGAGATTGAAAGCACGCTCGCTCATCAAACTACCGTTTGTCTTTGATTCACCTCTGTTGTACAGATTCAAACACACCCATTGAGATTTATCTTCGCCAATCAAGAGGTCTCTTATTCCGCCACGTCGGCGGCTTTGGCTCGTTTGCTCGTTCTCTCGTCGTGAATTCTCTCTCGGTGTCGATTTGTTTTGACTTGTTTTCACTCGAAAGCTTTTACCTGCTGACAAGAGGAGTCTTTAAACACACGATGCTGATCAGCCTCGATGTCTGGTGGAAGCCAAAAATCAAACAAGAACATGTATATTTATATGTCACGCTCACACTGAATATAACCTCCACTGCCGCTAAACCTTTTTGTTTAATTCAAGTAAAACGCATATTATTTTTATTAACCGAGCTGAAAGAGCAAAATCCTGTCCTGCAGGAACAAGCAAACTTTAACTGCACATTTAACTGGCGTTATATTCTTTATGCTTCAGGTCGGCGTCTGTTAGAATAAGAGTCTTCCCTCCACTCGAGTGGCCTGACCCTCCCGACCTCGCCTGTAGAATGCACGCAGTCTTATGCTGACCGGCTCGCTGTGACCTAACCCAGCCGGCCGGTGAATACTTCATTTAAATTCTGGCTCTGCATGACCGCCGTCCGGCTGTGACTGAGGTACGCTGGATTACCGGCGAGAGTCTGATCCCTCAGAAATTCGGGGTTAACTCACGTCCGCTGAGGTCACGGCGGACGTGAGTGCGGCGAACCGGTGCTCGTTGTCAGGTCACCTAACGATAAACTGAGTAAGGAGAAGGGGCCGGGAGGAGGAGGGGGGGGGGGTCTCTTGACAGATGCGTCATTGCTTGTTAAGTCAAAGTTTGGGCCCCTTGATTGTCATGTGATCGTTGATCCTGAAGTCAATGTGATGGAGCAGGAGGTGGAAAGTAGCATCGTTTGGAGAGTTTATATTTGAAACCGTGTGCTCACTGAGCTTCTCTTCTGTCATATGTAAGCAACCTGGGGTACTTGACACCCAAGGGTGACAAAGATGACATCATTTGTACCTCGGAAATCATTTTCCCTTTGAGATGAATGTGATCGGTCAATCGCCCTGATGTAATAGCCAAATAATGTGTTATTACTAATCACTTTTAATATCACGCAGTGTTAGAAGAAGAGCCAAAGGAATGTGCTGTCACCCCCTCATTTCACTCACATTTCACTCAAACACTCAAACAAAGCATGAAGGTGATGGTTATTTCCAGTTAACCTCTCGGATCACAGCTCCTTGGAGGAAGAATCCGTCCATTTCCTCACAGCAAAGGATGCAAAGAGTCACGCTGGGGACCGGTGGGATTAACGTGAAAAGGGGTTTGTGCTGATCTTCTATCCCTCCTTATTATGGACTCAACTTTCTGTGAAAGGTGGATCCGAACCATCGGCACGTTTCTGTCCGCCTCACTCTTCTGACGGCTTCCCTTCCGCATAAAACTGTGAAGTTCATTTCTAAGGTCCTGGTGGCGCCATTTATTCAAAAAGGTTTCCGTTCACCATGTTTATCAAACGCTGCGCATTGAGCCAAAGGAGCAAACTGCGCGTTTGACTTGCTCCACAAAACCCTCAAATTTAGTTCCATTATTTTAAATGAACCACAGACGGCGCGTCAAGACCTTCTTTGTTTTCACAATCTTTATCTTTTCTTAAAAGCCTGTGTTATGAAAGGAAATCAGCCCTCGCTGCCATTTTTTGATTCATGGTGTGTGTGTTGAGTTTCGCGGCGGCTTGCTGAGGAAGCTGAGTGCTCTTCTGCAGCGGAGCTACACTCTGTGATCCGGGCTGATGAGACGAGTTGCATTTCACACACAGTATAAACTTTGACGTGTGCAGCTTTGATTCAAATAAACAGAGCTGTGCTTCAGTTTCTCTCCTCGCCTCTCAATGACAGCCTGGCATGTTATATAACAGCTGTGTTACAGGTCGTCGTGGCGCAGGGGGCAGAGCGGGTGCACTGGGGGGGGGGGGGAACTGCAAGGTTGGTGGTTCGAGTCCCGTCTGCCCCAATGTCTCAGCGTCGAAGTGTCCCTGAGCAAGACACCAAACCCCTGATTGCTCCCCGGGCAAAATGTAAACAAAGAAAGCCAACAAAAAAAGCTTTTAAGGCTTTAAAGTGCGATGTAAGTCGCTTTGGATGAAAGCGTCAGCTAAATGACCTGTAATGTAAATATATTATATCAACTGTGGACGCTGGAGACGTCCGGCTGCTTCTACCTGCGTGAGTCCACAGGTAGTTTTAGTGAAATGATAAAAGCGTCCTACATGGAGAAAAGCGTCTCCTCGGGGAAAGGAGTGATGTTTATTGAAGCTGAACCTGTGTGACACAGCTCACATCTCCTCCTCTGAACCCCCCCAGCCCCCCCCCCCCCCCCCCCCGCCCGTCTCCTCCTCACAATAAATCCAGAGGGGGCCCGTGTGTGGAGCTACAGCCCCCCACCTCCGCCCCTCCAAGTGAAAGTGCCATGGAGCAACTCCAGATGTGAACATCCTCCTTCTCTTCTTCTCTCCCACACTCTCTTCTCTCCCGCTTCCACCAGCAGTCCCGCCCCCCCCCCCCCTCCCTCCCTCCCCCGTCTCCCCCCCCCCCCCCCTGCACAGCTAAGACTTTTCCATTTCCTTTTTTGGTGAAAATCTCCAACGCAGGCCGGGAGGACGTTCTGCGAACGCCGACAGGAGATTGTGTCTGGCGAGTGTGTGTGTGTGTGTGTGTGTGTGTTTGGGATGAAACAGTCGACTCAGCATAAACAACGGCGTTTTCTATATTTACACGCCGAGTCACACGCGTACACACAGATGTGCCGTCTCACTCTCTTGCTCTCTCTGAAACACAAATATCTCAAACCTGCGGACGCAAACAAACACTTTTTACTGTCTTCTATTACACACACATGGTTTCTCTCTCCAACACCCTTTCACACAGTCTTATGTCCTCTCTCTCTCTCTCTCACACACACACACACACACACACACACACACACACACACACACACACACACACACACACACGTACATACTTTTTAAACACACCAGAAGGGTTTTGTACGTCTGAGACAGTAAACACAAGTCCAGAGAAAACTACGACCTCATAAACCACAAATAGAGAATTCACTGCAAACACAAATACACAAAATATAAAAAACTGCCCGGAAAAGATCCGTCAGTGCGCATTTATTTAGGACCACCAATAAAACTACATGCAGTATTTAGCCGAGTCTATTACCATCTTCTTTCTTCTTTCAACGGACCGCCTCAACGCCATGTTTTTTCCAACCGTACAATCCGACAGACCAACATCAACGCTGAAATAATGAAGTACACATATTTTTTTAATAGCTTTTCACATAGATATTACAAACTAACAATGAAAAACCAAACACTTACACTGTTTAGAGTAACAAAATAGTGATCATGGCATGCGTCCTCCTGCATTACACAACGGCTTTTCGTTTCAGCTACTTTGGGGTTGGTTGCTGGTTCGTCGAGCGCCGGTGATACAAAAAGATTCAACAGGTAGAAACGACAGAAAAAGGGAAGAAGCAGTTACAGGTAACAAAACAGTGGTCTGTGTGCCATGTTTTTGGTTGTGTTCTTATGTGCACATAACATGGTAGCGAGAGAATATCTTCAAAAAGTGCAAAGGACATTAATGATCACGACTCCCGTAAACTGACTGCTTCACTGAGAGCATAATTAGCGAAGCGCTTCCGTGTTTGTACTCTTAAGCGAAATGCTTAAAACTGTTCTTAAAAAGAACAGTAAAACAAACAGTACCTCCAGCGTACTTTCAAATACCCACTGAGGTTTGCGTCCTGCCCTTCAGCAGTGCTCTGTGTCCTCAGATCACCTCACGTGGCAACTATTTCATGCAAAAATACGACGCATTTGCGTTTCTTTGGCTTGAAGGTACACAACGTTTAAGCATTGTTGTTCCCGAGGCGCCCCGTAAACTTTTCATGCGGAAATTCAATTACAAAAGAAAAATCTTTGGGGTTGATTCGTAACTCGTGGATGGATGGAAGTTCCGGCGCCCCCAAGGAACTGATCTCTGCATATACAAACAACCTGAGATGCAGCATTCGTCAGCCTGCGTTACCTTCCTCGGTACGGACTTGGCGGGGGGTGGGGGGCGGGGTGTGTTTCTTGAAATGCCGTGTGACGAAAAAGGGGTGCAAGGTAAGTCAAGGGAGCCCGCCGGGCTCTACACGCCGCTGTTGCAGTCGCGGCACAGGATCCGCTCTCCGTCGGGGAAAAAGCCGGCGCCCACCAGCGAGGCGGAGCACTGGGAGCAGGTGAAGCACGGCTGGTGCCACTGGCGTTCCTCAAACGAGACGTACTTCCCTCCTCCGAAACCTGGGAGCAGAAGAGCGCTGGCGTCAGACCAACCGTCGAGCCTGTTGGCTTCTACCTGCGGCGGCGGCGGCGACATGCACCAATGAATTGATCTCATCTTGCCTGTGATCGGCTTGCTGCAGGCCTCGCACTTCTTGGCGTACAGGTTGCCGAAGCACTTGAGGCAGTAAGGGCTCTCGTCCCGCGAGGTGAAGTGCTGGCCCGCCAGCTGTGTCTTGCAGCTGGCGCAAACGAAACACTCCTTGTGCCACGGCTCGTCCCGATAGGTCACGCCGCCTTTGGCCAGCGTCTGACGATGGGAGAGGTCAAAGGTCAATTCACTTCTAAAAGATGCGCTCCTGCAAACGCGGCATGCACCCATCTCCGTTTCTGTCAGTCTAATCCTGCTCATAACCCCCCCCCCCCCTCCCCGAGAAACACGATCCCATTCTTTATTTAATCATGTGAGGGGTCAGGGGGACGACCTGCGGCGCCCGTACCGACCTTTTTACAGCGCGTGCAGCGCGAGGCGAACTTGTCCTCGTAGCAGGACACGCAGTAGTGCTCGTCCTTGTCGGGGATGAAAGACTTTGACCCGATTGGCTGTTGGCAGCTGTGACAGATGAAGCAGCCCTCGTGCCACGTGGAGCCGCCGTACTCCAGCTTCCTCGTTCCTGGCCGAGAGAAAGAGAGAAGAGGGGGGGGGCTTTATCCTCTGCCATCTTTCTTTGGACTTTTAGGGCCATTTGGGGTTATTTGCATGGTGGTCATTTTATTGAACTATAAAACGACTTATAAAACTCATTCTGTTTGTCTAAGAATTATTTCATTTTTAAATCGTAATACCACAGGCCCCGCACTTCTTTCCTACTACTGGAAACTGGCGACAGGCCGTACAGAAAGGGATAATTTCTTTTATTTTATCCCTTGTTGAGCCCTTTCTGGTTGGTTTATTACGCAGTAATTCCAGTGCAGCCGACATTAAACGCTATACGGTTCCGCTGCTGCAGGCCGGCTGCCGAGTCCAAATCCGAGAGGAACCCCCTGAAAGTCTGTGTCTGATGTAAAGTCTTGTTTCTGTTTTAACTCATGTGAGAAATTTACATTCACTTGCAAGATTCATTTGAAATGAAAGTCCATTTAAATAATCGTAATAAATGAAGAACTTGTGTGTCTCCGTGTGTTTTGAGGGTGAACATATTTTTGTATCACAGCAAAAGGTGCGTTCTAGAAACCTTCTAGGGTCTCAACCAAAGTGCATCTGAGCTTTTGGTGAAACAGTGATGGCCGAGAGTTAGTGAGGTTGTACAGTAAACTAAACCCCGGGATTTTTCCTGCTCAATAAATCTCCGTCTGCGTCTTTGTGATGTTGATAAAGACGACACTGGATCCCTGCAGTGGAAATAAAGGGGACTGTGTAAACTGCCACAGGGCCACTGGAATCACTGACTTAACTCTTGTTATCATCAGTCTACTGGCGCCCCCCCCAGACCCTCCCCCCGGGTATCTGGCACACACACACACACAAGTCAAGCAGACTGGCAATTACTCTGTCACATCCCGGACCTCCGTCGCTTTCTTCTCTCCCCTTTTTTTTCCCCTAAAACCTTTTTTCCTTTCTATGTCAACTTGTTGCTCCTGCTTCCTGGAGTGTGTCCTGTCATCATTTTTTCCACAGCTATTTGCCTATCTGGAAATTTGAATTTGTACGCGACGGATGGAAAGAATACTGTGTGACGGGACGAATGCTTAGCGGGTGACCATATTTGTGCCACATTTTTTTTCCCCACTGTCAAATGCATCGCACTTGGAGGTGATGGCGCTCGCTCTTTCCTTTCACCCCCGATGGGACGAGCGCGATTAACCTTTAAAACTCAAACTTCTCTGCGCGCACGTGCTGCGCTCTTACCGGGCATGACGACCTTGTCGCAGGCCACGCACTTGGAGGAGAACTCGTTGCAGTAGCAGTCGTTGCAGAGCAGCGCGTCGTCCTGGCTGGTGAACGGCTCGTCGGCCAACGAGCGGTCGCAGCGGAAGCAGCGGAAGCAGTGCTCGTGGTAGTGCCGGTCCTCGTAGAAGAGCTCCTGGCGGGAGGACGAGAAAAAAGAAAAAGTAAAATCTCTCCGTCAATTATCGACGCTCTTACAGATTTGTTTTCATGTTTTGCAGCTTCGGGAAAGTGGCGGAGTTGGACCGCGGGCCGAACTGACTTGTGTACGGCTTGTGTTGCAACATGCAGCATTATTCTCCTCAGGGGGAAAAAAAAAAAGGTCTCACAGGGAACGTGGAGTTCAACATCACAGCCACGAGAAACCAGGCTGCGTTTACCGCCCGCTGAGGGCGTTGATAACTAATGGGCCTCCTCGTCCCTGCAGCACGCGACCCGTTCCGTGAACTCTCCACCAGGCAGCGTCGCTCAGTCAGTCTCACATGAGCCAAGGTTACATTTTCACTTAATAGACAGTCCCTCATTCTGCATTTTTTAAATTGTAGACAGAATCATCCCGTTGGCGTACGTGGAAATTGTCTGTATAATTTGAAGTTTGCCCCTATCCACTAAAAATATAGAACGCGCCTCGTTTAGCACAAACTATTCGTCATTGACGTGACGTAACTTCCCTTATAGCAATAACAGCAGTTGTAAAACACAGGAAAAAATTGCTAAACCCCAATTCGGCCTTTGCATTCCTTTTTCTTTTTTGCACTCCACTCGTTACTGTCAAGCAGCGCGTGTCTGATCACGTCCGCGAACGCGCCTTACCCTGGCGTCGTGGCCGATCAGCTCTTTGCACTCATCGCACGTGTTGGAGAACAGGCTGTCGTAGCAGGGGATGCAGTACGGACTGGCCTCCGACTGGATGTACTTGCGGCCGTACAGGGACTCCTTGCAGTTGACGCAGTCGAAGCTGTCTGCCATTGTGACTCTCTGCAAACCTGAAACACAGAAAACGCAGAGCGACGTTTACAGAAGGGGACGACGATACAGAGGAGGGGAAGAAAAAGGGTGAGAGATTCCTTTCAGGTTGGATGTCAGCGGGCACTTTCACCGCCAGTATTTACGCTGTAAATACTTTGGCGTGTGCCGGCTTCAAACAAAACACGCCGCGCAAAGTGGGAGCAAGTGGAAAAAGAGAGAGCGACAGGAGAGGCAACGCGAAATACCTCTTCTCTTTTTATCGCCGCGTGATGAAAGCGTGGCTGAGGCGGAGGGAAGGGAGGGAAGGGAGGGAAGGGAGGGAAGGGAGGGGGGGGGGGACGAGAGACGGAGCTGCCGACTTCCCTCGGTTACTACTTAGCACCAGAACTCAGCTGCCGTGGCTGTCGAGCGTGTCGGATTAAAAAAGGCAACCGATGCGAACCGAGACGCGTCTCCGGCGGCGGGGCGTATTTCTGCACCTATGAATATTCGCGAGCTGACACGCAGGAATCCCACGAGAGCGTTTGCGAGGATCTGTTTGAACACGAATCCCTAAAAAGTGGCCTCCCGTCAGCATAAAGACGCGGCCCTAACAGGCCCCTCCATCACGACTGAGCACACAACAAAGTGACGGAATGATGTTGTGAGGATGATGCATTGAGGCAACAACATCAGGTTGCCAAAACATTACAGCACGGCTGGACAAAAGCCCAGTGATAAGTGATGCAGCTCGGCGGGCTATTCCCCCCCCCCCTCCCCCATCCCTGCAACATTAATCTGATATCTGCTAATCGATCAGACGGAAAACTGGCCATGTGTCTGCCTGCCTGGCGTAACCAAACCCGGGGCGAAAGGGGTCCGGCTGCTCGAGTGCGAACAACATGGTTTCGCGGCAGGGCGCCGAGGAGACAAGCGAGCACAAACACAAGGCGACGCAGAAAAAAAAAAAGGGGGAACAAAGACGGAAAGCCAAATCACACAAGATCCATCATCAAAGAAAAAACACACACAAGTCCCAGACTCTCCGGTTTCACCCGTCTCGGCCGGACGAAAAGCTCTTAATGAGTCGGGGTGAGAAAGTCAGGACCCGACGGATTTCACCTGCTCACAGTCGTCAGACGCGAACCAGTGTCGGGCTTTTTGCTGTGAGACCCCCTCCCCCCTCTCCCCGTCCCCCCCCGTCCCAGCGCCCTCCGGTGACCTTTTAGAGGCGAACTAGGAGGCCTGAATGCTCGGCGGCCACGTGTCTTGAAGACATCTTCAGTGGTGCCCGTGAGGGGCGTCACGTCGCGTAAAGCAAAGTGCTGAGTCAGCATCTGACAGCACTTTTCTGTTCACTTTGACCCGCGGACGCAAGAAGCGACCGACAGAGAGTAAGGAGCTGAGAACGAGCGAACTGTGACCTCGGTGCTACCCTGCAGGGCGGGGAGGTATGCGCCGTGTTTGCTTGCCAGGTAAGAGAAACGAGACCGGGCATGAACAACAAAGCCGGGGTGGGGGGGGGGTCGGGCAGTGCCGGGACGTCCCATGTTAACTTTAATTTCTAACGCAAATCAGGCAGCTGTTTATTACCACAGCAGGTCATAAAACGTCTGAAGCGCTGCCGTCTAACGGCGTCCCTGCGCCTTAGATTGATCGCTCGGGGTGTGTCTGGTTACGTTATTTACCTTCATTTCGTCAAGTGTTCTTATGCCCCCCAGAGGGACTTTGAGCAAGCATGACTTGTTTGCCAGCAACAGGGTTCATATTACGTAAAGAAAAAATAAATAAAACACAGATGGGACGAGTACGCTCAAAGCCTGACATACATTAATACGTTATCCTTCAGAAAGCAGACACAGGCCGTTTACTTCAGAGAGATTTGACGGAAATAAATAAAGTCGTGATGGCACACGCTCATGTGGAGAAGGAGGAGAGAGGAAAGAATCTGGGTCACAGCGAACTCCAGCCCGGAGGCCTGTTCTCACAGGGCTTTGTGTCCGAATGCCGGTGTGTATATGCCAACTTCGCAGCAGAGGTCCTTCTCCTTCATGTCCACGAGCCAGTGACTAAAACCCTGCTCCCCTTTAATATGTTTCCCAAATACCACAGCTGGGACTGAAGCCATTCCCCTGGGAAAAAAATGTGGGCCTCCGATGAAATCCCCACCGCCTCTAACCCAAGACGAAGGTCCAGGATGCTTTAACTCAAAAATAGCGTCGAGCTCTATTTAAAATAGACATGAAGTGGATTCCACTCTCTTAAGAGACACAAAAAGGTGTATTGTTCAATGCAGCTGTGTCTGTCGCCATCGGCGACCCTGCAGAAACGTCTCAATCCGGTGTTCTTAACCATTGCAAATTCTGCCCCGCATGAAGTATATATTTTGCGTTGTTTTGTTCCCATCACAGATCTCCTTGACTGAAGTTGAAGGCCAACAGCGAGACACGAAAGAGCCACAGACCATCGAGCAGGCTGTATCTGGTTGCCGGGCAACAGCGCCACGGTCGGTTACCGGATTGGGGGGGCGCAGGTACAACCGGTGCGGTGCGGTGCGGTCCCGCGGGTGAGCGCGTTAATCCCGCGGCCCAAACCGGTTGATTCCCAGCGATCGGCGCTTCGTAGGCTGCTGGGAACCAGTCTGCGAACCCAAGACTAAACTAAACAAAGACTAAACAAACCCGTCGACATCAACAAAGATCACCTTGACCGGCCCGAAGGCCGTATGAGGAAGTAGGTCAACTCGAATTTAAAGTTCTTCTTTACACTCGAGGAAGAACAAGATTTCACTGGAGGTTTTCCCATAAATTAATTAATTCAGTGGAGCAGCTGCGTTTTTTTTTCCTCTTCATACAATAACAACAACAACAACAAAACACACATTGTGGCTGCAACATAAAGAAAAAGCAGCACAGCGGGAAAAACTGTTTCCTCCCTGATAAGACGGCGCGACCCGACGAGGTTCTGCTCTTTTCGCCGGTCTGCGTTAACGGGCCCGTTGTGAGGAGTGAGCTTTCATGTCCAAGTGTGGATTTAATGTGGATTTACTTTAAGAAGAGAAGCCCCTCGGTCACCTTTAACGGTTTGATCCTTTGGCAGCGCACAGAGACAGAAGTGCGTTGATGACTCCTACTGTTACAGGAGGAAAAAGAGAGAGAGAGAGAGACACGGTGACGGATCAGAACTAAATGAACTCTGGAGTAGGAAGCTAAACGCGAGTGTGAGTCTTAAATCACATGAGCAAACTGGTGGGACGGCAGCGTTTGGATAAACACCTGGACATCTTCCAGAGACGGTCTCGACATCACGTCGCAGCGCTGGACACTTGACTTCATCATTTTAAGGCCCGGTTGAGCGTCTCGTAAATAAAGTACAACGTCAAAAAACGCACTTCAGAATGGTTCACTCGTGCCTCCCTTGGTCCTGCGGCCACTTGAAGACTAATGTGAAGAGACAAAGACGAGACTTTTTCTAATGGCCCCCGAACTTTGTGTTTATGACACGACGCCAGAGGGATCACGTTGCTGGTTTCCTTCAAGGGACGTGAAGCCGAGGTCGGCTCCTCTGGCAGAAGCTTCCGGATCCACGTATCGCGTGAAACGAGGCGCCGCGCGAGCTGCGTCTCATCGAAGGTGATTAACCGCCGCGCGTGGACGACTATGCGGCCGCAATGAATGAAGAATAAAAAATTCATATATTCGTCAAACGTCACCAGTTAAACACATTTTCCGGCACTGGAAAGGTCACAGAGCGGCGATGAATCTTATCGCGGGAAGGGGGAGGAAATTGCTCGCGAAGCGATAACGCCGCAGCTCATTCATGAGCAGATATACTCACGGCTGCCGGTTATGAACACAAGCGTTCTGCACACTTCACGCCCTCGCCGTACGGCGTCACCGAGCGCGGGCCGGGGGAGAAAAGACGGCGTGCCGACATTTACGGCGTGGGCCTCATTTTGTACGAAAAGGGGGGTCAGAACCCAGCGGACGAAGGTGGAAAACAACCCGGTGAAGTCGGGGCGCCGCCGTGAGCCTTTGAGCCTGAAGCTTCGGAGAAGAAGCTCCATTTGCTGACTTTTTGCTGGTCTTTATGCCTTGATTAGCAAAGGGAGACGACGGGGGGGCGGGGGGCGGGGGGCTGGTCCGCTGCACCCCGTAAACACACTTCGTGAAGTCTAACCATGTAAAATAAACGTGTTATGACTGCATTTTTAACGGGAAATCAATGTTAAATTGTAAGAATAGAATACTAACCCTAACACCCTCAAAAAATCCAACATGGCAGAGAGACGTTCATGCAAGAATCCGCCATGGTCCGCCATGTGGTTCTCAGGGGGGCGTGGTTAACCGCCGCCAGTTCCTATGTATTGTTACGAATTTGTATGTTCGAGATTTTCGTACACGTTTTTGCGGACAGGTTTTGGAGATCACGTTGGGAGGACTCGAGTCATGACCTGACGCTGCGGTCCAGACACTGGGAGGCTGAGCCGTTATTTGCCCCTGAGCGTTTAAACACCGTGGGCCGGGGCAGAGAGCCCCAAATGAGAGCCGGCGAAGGCGGGAAATGACTACCTGCGGCGCAAAAATGTCACCGTGGAACTTTGTAATTTGTCCCTCTCGGGCAGCTTTTGATGAGCATGCGGCCGCGGGGACGGGACTTCATGTCTTCCAATATTAGCTTTGATTCTGTTGTGCGGCACACACTGCGGCGTCAGAGCAAACAATCCCCTCTGGACGGCATTATTAAGAGGGTTTGATGTGGCGGATTTAAATGTGCACAAAAAAGATAAACAAAGGCCTTTACCGACGTGTGTTTAGTTCCACTTAAAACATTCATCTGTCATCATCCGACAGCCACTTCGGCACACGGGAACTTGAGACGGTGCTCGCAGGGAGGACTCGGCTTTTTTTCACATTCACGTCGATCCCTTTGTTTTCCGCGATACGCCACCGACACCAAACAACAACGTCGCAATTATCTCAAATCGCACGGTGGCGTCGCAAAGCCACCGCGAAGGGGCGGCGCTCGGCGCTCAGGA